CGATGTCCCACGCAGGCAACGCGAGCAGTAAACTGGCGAAGACGTCGGAGCTGGCGATGCCTGTGTCATCAGCGAAGACTCCCAAAGCGCCTAGCTGCGGGGGCAAGAGGTACTGCATGTACCGCAGGATCGGGTCGAACTCAAGACAGAACAGCGAACCTGACAGAAGACAGCCTTGCCTGATACCTCGGAGAGCCCAGAACCCAGCCTCTTGGATCCCACAGAAGTTGATGCTAACCCACACGCGATGGTAAAGCTTACGCACAGCATCGACGATAGACGTAGGGACTCCCATGGCTCCCAAGACCCACCAGATCATAATATGGAGTAAGCTGGGAAACGCGGCTCTAACATCGAATGAGGCGAACCCCGTCCCCCTAAGACCCATTTGGCAATACCATTGGAGAGCCCAAGATTCCAGTGTCAAAATGTTGTCGTTCATGTTCCGGTTTTTGACGAAGCCCCTCTGGACGCCAATCGCCGTGTCGCAACACAGGTCGGAGAAGGAGTAATTCAGAGTCCGAGAGATCAACTTATTGTCGCTGTTGGAGAACGAGATCGGCCTAGTTACTTCGGACTTGCGGAAAGCCCCAACCGACTGGTCATCGTCCTCCAAGCCCTTGGCAAGGAAGATCGCTTGGCAGAAGTTGAAATCGGTAGAAAGAGCTCCACCCCGAAGAAGCGACAGATAAAGTGCGTGGAGCAGTCGAAGGCCTGTGGTTCCTGATTTTGTCCATCCCGAATAAGGAATACCGTCGGGGCCGACTCCAGAATCTCGAACCTTGGAGGCCCTCTCGCAAAACTCGTCAAAACATATCTCCCATGGAATATGCCCAGGACATTGAACAACATAAGGCCTTAACTGCTCACGTGCATCCGAAGAGCCATCTTCCAAGCCGTGCACATTGCCCCAGTGCTCCGCTAGACGGTCAGCGGCGAGTTTCGGATCCGAAATATGTTCGCCCGAAGGATCAGTGACACCGGTGAGGGAAATACGTCGATTAGCTCCAGACCTGGCCGAAAGATATTCGTGAAGACGTTGCTTGGAAAAAAGGACTTGGTATTAGGGTGCATGTGCGGGTCTGCGTCGACCTCCGCAATCTTAGCCTTGACATTGCTAGCTGCGAGCTGGTCCAGCCAGACATAGAAGCCAGACATGTCCTTCCAGACGAGGTCGGAGGCATCAATGAAGCGAGACAAGTAGGGGTATGCACGCATCGCTCTCCGAATTCGAGATGGTGCCCCTGCTTGCATCGCACGATGAGCAGCGAGCGTCCACGAGAGTTTCTCTGGCAACGAGTCCGCCTCTCTCTGCTCGAGCTCTTCTCGGACAAGCTTGGCAGCGGCACGGATAACATCTTTAAATTCACGAACAGCAAGAGCGGGATCGGGAGAGAGAGGAGGAACCATATCCAGAACTTGTTGAATCGCCCGAGGGAACACAGGATGACGACAAACCCAGGATGCAATCCGCGGAGTGAGGAGGAGGAGGAGGAGGAGGAGGAGGAGGAGGAGGAGGAGGAGGAGGAGGAGGGGGAGGAGGAGAGGAGGAGGAGGAGGAGGAGGAGGAGGAGGAGGAGGAGGAGAAGGAGGAGGAGGAGTAGGAGGATCGAGTATGGCCACGTGAGGATGACCGAGGATCGAGGACCCACGCGAGGCCGTCCGGGGCTCCTTGTTCTGGGCGTTGCCCAGCTGCGTCTCGGCCTCGCCATGCGTGTGCGAGGGGGGGGGGGGGGGCACCTGGCGGCTGAGGCCGAGAGCCCGCGCCCTGCGCCCGCTGCCTCTCGAGGGCTCGTCGCCACTCGTCGTCGGTCTACACGTGGCCCTGTCATCGTCTCCGCCCCTCCGCCGCCGCCGCCGCCGCCGATTCGCCGCCGATGCCGACGCCGACGCCGACGACGACGTTGACGACGACGACGTTGACGACGACGACGTTGACGGCGACGACGTTGACGACGAGGACGAAGACCACGTGTGCAGCTAGGCCTCTACTTTTTTCGAGCCTGCGTCCTTGCACTACTACAAGAGCCACATCCTCATCCTCTCTCGCCCCTGCTTCCTCCGTAGAAGCAGAAACGGCATACACACTAAGCAGGTCCGCGCAGATCTCTTGGATCTGCGCCAACCCCCCTCCCAGGCGCGGGGAGCGCGCCAGGAGCGGCGCCAAAGGCGCTGCCAGGGGGACCCCCAGCGCAGATCCAACAAATCCGCGCGGAACCCCAACAACAATGTAGGTGTATGAGAAAGTTTGTTCCTCCATGTTCCCTCCTCGTCTCCGTCGTTCTCCTTTGAGGGGCAACGATGAAAGGGGCTTGCATGGGGGGGACACATCGATCCGGAATCGGTGATACATCGCCGAAAGAACGGCGATGGCCCACGATAGCGAATCCGCACGTTCCTGGGCTGGGTGTGGCTATCGTGCCCGTATCGGCGGTGAGTGTACGATTGGGGGTCGATGCATCCCCCAGCATGCCCAGGCCTCCCTCTCGTTGCCCCGTGATCCCTCCTCCAGGGCTGAACCTAAACGGTGTTTTCCGTTCTCGTTCTGGTTTCGTTTGCCCTCGTCCTGTCTTCCATCCGCCTCTGCCGCAGAACGAAAAGGAAACGAAAAACGGCTCACAACATCGCCAGAACACCGCTCAGGTCCAGCCCTGCCCTCCTCCCTGCCACTGGGTGCCTTCTCCAGCAGGCCCGACAGCGTGTCCACCTCGGCGGCGCCGCGCGGCTGCAGCGCTTCGGCGGCGCAGCGGACCGACCGAGTCCCGCGGGAGCACTGGCCGCGGGAGCATCGAGGGGCAGCGATCGAGGGGACCGGCAAGGGGAGGGACACGTTCGGGTCGGGCGAAAGGGGGCGATAGCCAAAGGGGCGGGGTGAGAATCAGCTCACGTAGCTCATTGCCCCGCCGCGCCTCCCGGCGCCAGGAGGCGCCCATGCATCTCGAGGACTGGGCCCGGCGGCGGGGCCGAAACCGGCCGCATGCAGCAAATTTCGTACCTCCCCCTCTCCCAATCCCCCCTTTCGTTCGGCCCGAGCATTGAGGGGCAGCGACGGAAGGGACCGGCAGGAGGGAAACAGCGACCTGGAATCGGCGCTAACATTGCTGGCAGATCGGCGACATGCCCTCGATGGCGAATCCGCCCGTTCCTGTGCGGGGGGGCCAGGGGGGCGCCTCCGTCGCCGCCCCGTTGCACATACGGCAGATTCGCGTCGCGCCGGCGCGGCGGCGACCCCCGCCGCGGGCGTTCAAGGTTGATCGCCGTCAGTGGCCCAGAGTGGGTCGATATGGAACGATCTGGCGACCGACTCTGGCTCCCTCCCTGGCCCATCCATCATCTTCCCTCCCCCTCACGAACAAAACATTCATAAAGATAAGTCTCGGGGTCCGCGCGGGTATCTTGGATCGGCGCTGGACCCCCCTCGTAAGCGCGCGGAGCGCGCCATGGGCGGCGCCAGAGGCGCCGCCAGGGGGCCAGCGCCGGTCCGAGAAGTCCGCGCGGAGCTCCGAACATGTATGTTTGTGTGTGTGTGTGTGTGTGTGTTGTTCCCGGACTGACCCCAAGGCGGTCCATATGTCGGGTGTTGCTAGAAGTGCCCCTAGCCCAAAGCACCCCCAGGATTCTCGGGGTGGCCCAGACGGCCTCCAGGGCACCCCTCACGAGCCCAGAGGGGCCCCAGGGGCTCCAAAATGGAGCGAAAAGCTGGGGGCACCCTAGGCCAGGGGCACCTCTAGCAACACCCGAATATTTCACCCCTTGACTGCAGGTCCTGCAGGCCCAGCCTTAGGCCGGACGTGTCCTCCTTCAGGCGGATGTTGGACGACAGATAAAAAGTAGTCAAACAATATTCAAAACATTTACAAAAAGATGTGACAATCGTCACCCGACTATGTTTTGACTATTTTTGATGAATCTTTTTGAATCGTCCCCCTGCAGAGGGACATGCCCGACTGAAGCCCAGCCTGCTCTTGCACTGCGCGGTGCGTGCGCGGTACTGCGCTCGCGAGGGCGGGATCCCCGCGAGAGGTGCAGGTGCCCTCGCCGGGCGCTGCTGCCGCTGTGCGGGAGAGCTCGGGGCTCCGGGAGGAGCATCGAAGGGCCACCTGCTGATGCTGTCAGGGCTGGGCCTGACTGTGGTGTTTGGTCTGTTTTCGTTGTGTGCTTCGTTTCGCTCCGCATCTTTTCCTGCACCTGTCTGCACAAACGAACAAAAACATAACACAGCCGAAGTCTAGCAACACATCGTTGAGGTCCAGCCGTGGCTGCTGTCGCACAGTTTATTTTATGATTTTCTAGGGGAGGGGGGGCTGGGAAGACCGACACGAGCGACACGTCCGCAAACGGCCCACGAGCCGGCAGCGCGGCGGGCCCTCTGGCCTCTGGGGTAAGGAGGGGGACGACGAAGGGAGGGGACGATGACAGGAGGAGACCAAGGGGGGGGGGCGACCTTCCTTGTTCCCTCCACCCACGGCCCCCGACACCCCTGCAATCCACCCTCCAACCCACTTCTCCCAACTGGTCCCCGTGCCCCTCGTCCGCAGTCTCCCCCCCTCCCGTTCAGTCTCCCGGTGAATCCGACCCCCCTCATTTCGGATCGGACGGATGGGGGGCAATAAAAGAAGGAGTGTTGGCGAATCAGCTCGCGTAGCTAAAGTTCCCGGTGCCTCCTGGCGCCAGGGGCGCCAATGTATCGAGGACGCCTGGCGGCGGGGAAGAAACCGGCCGCGTGCAGCAAATGTCGTGCCCCCCCCTGTTCCTATACCCCCCTTCCGTCTGACCCTGATTCCTCCCCCCTGCGGGCAAGACTTGAGTCCACATCCACTGCAGCTTGGAGTGTCGGCCCTTTCCCAGAAACCCGAGGCGCACTGAGGAAAAAACATCTGGCCCCTGGAGGCTCGATCTTTATCCATGTCCAGTGCGCCTCGGCCTCGTGGCACCCCTCCCAGGGAAGTCCAAGACGCACTGGATATGGACATCAATATTGTCCCTCCCCCCCCGATCACAAGGCGAGACGACGGCGATGAGAGTGGTGGGGGCGCCACGCGCACCACGAGCCGCGCACGGCGGCCACGGGCTGCGGCTGCCGCAGGCGGCCACCCCTACCAGGGGTCTGAGGCTGGCGGCCCTCTACGCCCGAACTCCCTCCCCTTCCGAATCTGCAGGGCACCTCAGGGGATGATAAACGGCACCTCGACGACGCCAGGACGATGATAGACTCGCGTGAGGAGAAGTCGAGAATCTCTGAGATCCGGCGGCCCGGGGTGGATGTCTCGGGCGCCGCGGCCTCCTCAGAGCGTCCCAGAACGCTCCGAGGAGCATTCCAGGACGCTCTGGAAAGGATTTATCTTCGTCCTAGCCCCGTCCGACGAAGGTCCGCGCGGATCCTCGAATTCTCTTGACAGGAGCCTTGAGCTTCCGCTGGCACCTCTTCGGCTGCGTCCTGGTTGCGTGGCGGCGGATTCCCACCTTGAAGGGCACCTCGTGGTGCCAGGCAGCTTGAAGAAGATGCATCGGCGTAAACAGAAGTTCGGAGGTCCGCGCAGATTTCTCGAGTTTGCGCCCGGCCGCGCTGGCGGTGCCTCTGGCGCCGCCCCCTGGCGCGCTCCTCGCGCAGATCCAAAAATATCTGCCCGGACCTCCAACATATTATGTTTATGTACAGTTTCCCTGAGGGGAGAAGCTGGTGGATGGGCCAGGGAGGGGGTGATGCTGGCTGGGAAGCAGGGATGCTGGGCAGCACGACATCCAGCAGAGGAAAGCATGTGCCCACTCGGCGAACATGCATTGGGCCATCAGAGCGAATCGAATGAGGACGAGGAGGACGAGGAGGATGAGGCGGATCGAGGATCGAGATTAGTGGTACGTACCTCGTGGACCTCCAGGGGCTTCTTGAAGCCTCGGAGGCCTCCAGAGGCTACTGCTGTGACGGATCTCTGTCCCGAGGCGTCTCGTCTAGGCAAATCCGACCACAATGGGAGATCCCCGTTGACCCCACCAATCCAGAACGTCCCCCACCATCCTCCTCCCGTTCCCTCCGCCAGGGAGGAGGTGGAGGGGGAAGGGTAAGATAATTGGATGAATAGTCGTCATGAGGATCTACCCACGGCTTTTACAAGCACGATGGATTGCAATTCCCCACAGCCCTGTGACTGGAATACACCACCGTCGGAGAATTGAAAGCCATGCTTCATTCGTCGGCCGAACGAAGATCGAGCATCAAGCAGCCTAGAAACTTGCATGGCAGCTGACCTTGTGAGACTGGCTCGCTGTCATGCTTTGTAACTGAACCGCTTGGCGCAAACTTCTCATACCCCCCAATGCCGTGATCTTTTCACAAAAAAAGACCCTGGGAAACCTCGACCCTGCCCTCGGACAAGGTTTGCCTCCCGAATCGTTTTCCGACGCACCTGGAGCTTGTACTCCGAAATGCGCCAAAAACACTGCGCCGTGTTTTTTTCCACGACGCGAGGGGTTCTGGGCATCTGAAACCCTCGGCGCAAATGTGATGCGGGGGAACAGTTCGAATAGGAGATCGACTACATGATCATGGGGGGAACCATTGAGCTGGAACGGTCCTGGGCGGGGTGGGCTATCGGGCCGCTATCGGCGATGAATGGGCGATCTGAGGTCTATGCATTCCCCCTCAGCCTGCCTACACCTCCTAACACTGCCCATTGAATTTCGGGCCATAACTCGGCTCCCTGGCGGCTGACCAAGACGATCCCGCTGCCCCCGGAACGCCCCTGGCGAGGCGCAGCTGCTGGAGGGCACCCCGAGGAAGGACAACCGCTGAGGATCCACGAAGACGCCCGAAAACTTCGAGCCGAGCCCCCCCCCCCGAGCCGATCCCCCCCTGGCGTTGCCCCTGGTCCGACCTCAGAGCAGGGCGCAGGGCCCGCCTGGCGCCCCTTCCGCCGCCGCTGCTCCTGCGAAGAACGCGTCACGCGCCAGAGCCGCGGACGCGGGTGTCTCCAGCGCCCCGCTGCAGAATTCTCCGTCCTCCCTGATCGCCTTGATCCGCCACCCGCGCCTGCGGCGGCTGGTGAGTACGATTGTGGAGATGTCTGCACTCTTTGCTTGGCAAGCATGCGGAAGGAACCTTTCGACGCGGAAGCACCCCATGTGTGTGTGTGTGTGCGTATTACTATCTGGCAGTTCCCGCCGTGACCATTTGGGTTTGAGCGAACCTCAGCCCGAGGGCGACCAGGCGAGCGCCACTCCGGGTGCGCACGCTCCTGCTGGTCTTCGCCGCCGCCTGCCGTTCTCTTCCGCTCGCTGCTGTGATATGACGCTCTGCGCCGTTCGCTGATGATGTCTGCTAGATCACAGCGATCACGCGGCTCTGAAAAGAGAGGGGTCGGCGGCGCCCAACAAGCGACCCGCTAGAGATGCCCCCACCATCTGGGCGCGAACGGGACAATGGAACGCTCACCGTCGACTCCCCCCTGGGATGACCACGTGCCACGCCTATTCCATCACGTCACAGAAAAGGTTCCATACAGCCGGCCAGTAGGATGAGTGTGCGCGATAAGGATGCAAGGGCCTTGGACGCCCGTTCCGAAGCTGCCAACGGAAATGGCCAAGGATGGGACCCGGGAGGCAAGGATGCAAGGGGTAACCCTTGGGAAGGTTGCCGATCCTTGTTGACTGTACTCGCCTCTCTGGGCCTAACTCGCACCTGCCGCCTCTCGCTGGCTCACGGGGTGTCCCTCGGAGTGACGTCCCACGTGGGCCCGGGCGGCGGAGCCCGACCCTCCTGTGGCCGGGTGCTCGCTCCCTCCGCAAGCAGCACTGCTGCTCTTCCTCGTCCACCTCCCCCTCCCGCCTCCGTCCTCCTCCTCCTCCTCCTCCTCCTCCTCCTCCACCGCCTCCTCTCCTCCTTCCTCCTCCTCCTCCTCCTCCTCCTCCTCCTCCTCCTCCTCCTCCTCCATCCTCCTCCACCGCCTCCATCCTCCTCCCACTCGCTCTTTTCCTCCTGCCTCCCCGAAGGGCAGCGAGAAGGGGGGACCGGCTCAACGGGGCAAACGCCAACCTGGATCGGCGATGCGCGCCGGATGGCGACTCCGCCCGTTCCTCGTTCCTCGGCGGGGTGGGCCATCGGGCCCGTGTCGGCGATGGATGGGCGATTGAGGCTCGAGGCATCCCCCTCCCTGAGCCTGTCCCCTCCTAGCGTTGTCCTTGACTCCTGCCTCCTGCCTCCTCTTGCCTCATGTCTCCTGCCTGTGCTCCCCCGTCGCCTCACGGGCGCTGGCGACTGCTGCCAACTGGACAAGTCGGCAATTTCCTGGGCCCCTGGGATGTCCAACAGTGGTGCGGTCCTAGTCATATAAGAATGCTACCCATCCGTCGGAAGAAGTGGGTACAAGCATGACATAGGAAGGCGTTGGGCGATATCAGATCTCAACCCCGCCCCCTGAAGAGGAATGAACCGGGAGAACCACTCGACCCTTGAAATAGGAAGGCGCCCAGAGTATGTCGGAATCTAGGGGTCCTACAATACATACTTTCAACGACCGATGTGTACATACCTTACCTGGGCGCTGACGACCGCTCAACTGCCAGCGCTTTTGTGAGCTCCTGGGGTGCCTGGCGAAGCGAGGCGCCCTTCGGATAAAGAACTACCATCCCCTCCCTGGGCGTTGCAGCCCAGGCTTTCTCTTTCTCTCCCTCCCTCTCTCTCTCTCTCTGTCTCTCTCTCTCCCCCTAGGGGCTGGAGCCTGCGCAACCGTCGGCACTTTCGTGAGCTTCTGAGGGGTCCAGCGGAGCGCGGAGGCATCTGGATCACAGCCATGACCCCCCTCCGTGGGCTGGGCGAACTGTACAAATGACTGCATGTTTGCTAGCTTCTTGGCAGTTCAGCGGGGTGCGGTGCTATCTAGACGTAACTTCTTTCCAAACCTCCTCTGTGCGGGCCCTCGTCGTGAACAGATCACTGCAGCCCGTGCCTCCCTGCCGCCCCGCCCCCTCCCTGCCTCATGTTACTCACCCCTCCTGTCCTTCGTCCCGCCTCCTCCCTCCTTCATCTCGCTCCCTGGTTCTCTCTCTCTCTCTCACTCTGCTGGCTTCCTCGCCTCTCCTCGCTTCCTCCTCGCTCTCTTCACCGCGAATGACCACTGCCTCGTCGCCTCTCTTAACTCGCCCCCCTCCGATGCGCTGTCAACAACGCATTTGTCGTATGTTCGCGGGCTTCTCGGAAGTCAAGTGGGGTGCGGTCCTACGGAGGTACAAACGGTACCTCGGGCTTCCTGGGTGATGCCATCTGCCAGCTGGCGCACGTTCCGGGGCTTGCGGGGTGCCCAACAGAGTGCGGTCTCACCCATCATTAGACGGTACATGGCGCACTCTTGGTGGTGGCAGCTGCGCAACCGTGGCCACTCTTGTCAGCTCCTGGGACGTCAAGCGAGGTGCGGTCTTATCCACATCCAATCTACAATCAACTCGTATCCTGGGAATCTGCGGTAAGGATGCAAAAGCCTTGGATGCCCGTTCGAACGTTTTTTACGACCGAGGCTGGCCAACGAAAGTAGCAGGTGATGGGCCGAAGGGGCAAGGATGCAAGGGTAACCTTGGGAAGTATGCCTATCATTAAGTATTATGCGTGTTGACTGTAGACCTCGCCTCCCCGGGTGGCATGAACCGCGCAACTGTCGCCACTGTCGTGAGATGTTGGGGTTCAGCGGGGTGTGGCTTACCCAAGAACAAACTAAGACCTCGCCGCTCTCGTGAGCCTCTGGACGCCCAGCGGACTGCGATCTTCTCTCCAGAACCATGCGGCACCTCGTGCTCCCTCGGTGGCTGCCAGCTGCGCAATTGTCGCAACTTTCGTGAGCAGGAGGACGTCCAACGGATAGCAATCCGACCCGTATCCAAACTGTTCCCCCTCGCCCTCGTCGCGCCCTCGCCCTGCCCTCGCCATGCCTCCTCGTGCTCCTCGCTGGGTCCTCCTCCTCCTCCTCCTCCTCCTCCTCCCCATCCCCCTCCTCCTCCTCCCCATCCCCCTCCTCCCTGGGTCCTCCTTCTCCTCCTCCTCCTCCTCCTCCTCCTGGTTGGCCTCGCGCCCCTCTTCTGGCTGCCAGCTGCGCAGATCCACACCGCACCTTCCGGTTCCATGGTGGTGCTGTTTGAGCCACTGTTGCTACGTTCGAGGGGTCCTGCGAGCCCCGCGGGGTACGGTCTTACTCAGCTCCGAGCTAAATCTCGCAACCTATGGGTGGCTGACACATGCGGATCGGCGGCCATATGTGTCCGTTGGTATTTCCACTTGTTTCACATGACTTGGGTACTCGCCTAGGTAAGGTGTGTCCGTGTTGCTCCATGCGAGGCACTGGTTTATCCTTCCCACCGGCGTATCGAACCCAACATGGGCTGAGTGTTATGTTGTGTGTATTGAGTTGCTGGGTCCTCAACCCTTGAAGCATAATCCCACCAACCCTCTGGGCGTGAATGGTTAGGTAATGCCCTCTTCCATCTTCCCTTCGGGGAGAGGTGTATCTCTGCTCCTTCTTAATACAAACACACACGTCCTCCCCCACCCGACCGTGGGCCAACCCGGGACATGCCAACGCCCACCCATCCTTGTGAAAAAAACAATACAGACTGCCTCGGGACCATTTTGCATCGGTTCTTGATAAGGACGGTGGGGGTGCCGTCATATTGCTCGCTGTTCGCAGGCCAACCATCCCTACCAACATATAATGCAGCATTAACCTTGTCTCTACATTCGGAGCATGCGCGGGCGCCCCGCCCCGCGCCCTGCGATTGTTGAAAATGACGGCAGGGGTGCCAGCAATTTCCTGAAACGTGGAGTGCGTGGCGCAGCTTGCGCGCCTGGCTCGCTTGGGCCTCCAGGGGGGCCTGGTGCACCTGGAACCCGTGGCGCACATGGCATGCGTGGCGCTCCTAGGCAATCCGCTGGTGGGACTCCCTCGGGTGTTACTCATGTGTTGCGAGGGCGGGTGGGAGTGCGCGAGACGGCCTGCGGGCGAAGGGGGGGCCTCGACCCCTCCCCGAACCCCTCCCAGTGGGTCTGGAGGGGGGGGGTCCGCGAGACGTTGGAGCGTCCAAGATGGCCTCGGCAAGAATGCCATAATGATTGATTTAGCAAGGTTCTGGCCCCATGTTGGCTTCCCGGTGGGGGGGGGCTAATTGGGGAGCTCCCCTCATATGATCGATCACTTCCAAGATGGCCCCAAGATGGCCTCCAAGGGTGCCACAAGAGGTGCCCAGGATAGGATGCCCCAAGACTCCCCAAATATCCTCCCCCCCCGAGGCCCCAAAGAGACTCCCAAGCAGCCCCCCCCAGGCACCCAAGACGCCCCAAGAGGTCTCGGCGAGGAGGCCAACATCAGTCATTTTACTCGGGTTGGCCTCCTTCCTGGGGGGGGGCCCTAATCAATCAAGCCCCCCTGCTGTGATCGACCTCCTCCAACAGTCCCAAGATGGCCCCCGAGGCTCCCGAGGGTGCCCCAAGACTACCCCAAGAGGAAGGCCCCACGAGGCTCCAAAGAGACCCCCGAGAGGCCCCAAGAGAACCCCAAGAGGCCCCGAAAGGCCCAAGAGGCCCCCCAGACGTCCCAGGAGGCCTCGGCGAGAAGGCCACAATCATTAATTTTACCAAGACTTTGACTACATGTTGACCTCTGGTGGGGGGGCTACTTGGACCCCCCCCCCCCTGCTTTGATCGAACACCCCAAAGAGGACCCCAAAATGGCCCCCGAGGCACCATGAGGTGCCCCGAGACGGCCCCAAGAGGTGCCCAGGAGGCCCCAAGAGGCAACCAAAAGTCCCCAAGATGCCCCCCAGGTCCCCTAGAGGCACCCACGACGCCCCAAGAGGCACCTGGGACAGCCAAGAGACCTCCAAGACGCCTCAAAGGGCCTCCAATAGGCTCTCAAAAGACAACCTACATTCGAAGACACTCCGTGAGGCATACAAGATGCCTCTGGCATTTCTGCTCGCCCTCCTCCTCCTCCTTCTCCTCCATCTCTTCCCCATCCGCATCGTATTATAAGTATTCCTCCTCCTCCTCCTCCTGCTCCTCCTCCTCCTCCCTCCTCCTCCTCGTCCTCCTCGTCCTCCTCGTCCTCCTCCGCCTGCTCATCCCCCGATCCCTCCTCCATACTCATCCGCTTGGGACATGATGCCTTACTCAGCCTTTTAGTCCACTACATGCACCTCCACATCCCTGATCAAGGCAACTCGTCTGGGCATCGTTTCTGGATTAGCTGTTACGGTGAAACGGCTAGGATATGAATGAGGATCAGGAAACGTGTAGAGGGTTTCCTGCCACTGTCCCCCCCCCCTACGGCTGCCCCTCCCCCCCGCCCGCCCGCCCCCCCCGGGGCAGGCGCCCGCCCGAGCGCAGTGGCGGAGTTACGCGGCAGCACAACTGGATAAGTTCGTCAAACTTTTCGAACTTCAACTCATCGCGGACGTAGCCGCATACCACCAGGCGCAACTCGCAATCGTAGAAGTCTGCGCCGTAGTCGTGCAAGATCCATGGCTCTATAGTCTTCACCTTGACGTCGGTGAATGTGGGGTTCCAGCCCACGCTCATGGCGGTCTTATACACCCCTCTATCCGGGCCATCTGCTACCTGGGCCCAGGCGTAGTAGATACCAGCCTTACAGGTGCGTGCGAATTCCAGGATCTCTCGTTCCTCGGGCTTCAGATCCTCTGGGGTCTCCCCTTTGTCCCACTTCACCTCCATGTTCGCGGTCGGGAATCCGAGCGTCTTGCTACCGCGGCCGAACCCATGCACAACCTTCGCCCGCAACTTCTTGGGCACATCGAAGTCTTGTTGGGACCTCTCCACGACCAACGAGCTACCCTCAGCGGTCTCAGAGGCCGTGGAACCTTCGGCGGCCATGGCTCTCAAACTGGCTCCCCTGTCCTTGGGCGAACATGTCTGCATTGGGCGATTCCAACCGTTCTCTCTGCTGCCAATCGGAGACGAACGTGTGATGATGAAGACGGCACGTAACGGCATATGTAGCTTCACATCGGCTTTCATTGCTGGAGGTCCCCTATGTAAGATTGCTCTGTCCTGCATACATGTACATACATCTACACCTGCACACATGCTGGTATTGCCTGTCTAATATCCCGTCCACTCTCCCTTTGACCTTTCGAGCGCGTGTCTGTCGCCCACCTCTGTCTCCGCCTCGGTCCTTTTCTGTCGTTCATAGCAGCGGTCACCTGAGAGGACACCAACATATCCTTATGCTCCGGATATTCGGGAAAGCGTGATCCAACGCCGCTTTACTGTGGAAATTCCCCCCGCCCCCCCCCTCTTCATCCGTAACCCAGGATCCCCCCCCCTCCGAAAATCCCCCCCGCCTGCTGGAACCCCCCTCTCCGGAAAACCGAGAGGGGGGGGTCCTCTACCGGTTCGAACACCTCGCCCCCCCCGCCCCACGCTCACCGCCGGCAAACGACTCCCGGGTCCCTACCACCGTCCGCACCACATCCCCCACTGCTGTCCCCAGCACCACTGTCCTCACCACCGTTGTCCCCACTGTTCCCACCACCGTCCCCACTGTCCCCACCAGTGCCCCCACCACTGTCGCACTGTCCCCACTGTCCCCACCACTGTTCCCACCACGGTCCCACTCCCCCCGCTTTCCCCACGGCACCACTGTCCCACTCCCCTCTGTCCCACTGTCCCAGTGTCCCCGCCGCTGTCCCACTGAGCTGTCCCTCTGTTCCCACCACTGTCCCCACCACTGTCCCCACTGCACCTCTGTCCCATTGTCCCACCGCCGTCCTCGCCACCGCCCTGCCCTCACCACTGTCCCCACCACTGTCCCACTGTCCCCATCACATTCCCACTGTCCCCACACCACAATCCCCACCACTGTCCCACAGTCCCCACCACTGTCCCACTGTCCCCACTGTTCCCACCCGTGCCCCCACCAATGTCTCACTGTCCCCACTCTCCCCACCATTGTCCCACCACGGTCCCACTCTACCCACTTTCCCCACGGTCCCCACACTGTACCCACCACTGTTCCACTGTGCTGTCCCACCGTCCCAACGGCCTCACCACTGTCCCACTGTCCCCACTGTCCCCACCACTCTCCCCACTGTACTACTGTCCCACCACTGTCCTCACAAACGCCTTCACCACTGTCCCCACCACTACCGTCCCCATCACTACTGTCCCCACCACTGTCCCGCTGTCCCCTCACCACTGTCCCCACCACCACCGTCCCCACCACTGTCCGCACCACTGTCCCACTGTCGCCGCACCGCTGTCCCCACCACCACCGTTCCCACCACTGTCCCAGTATCCCCACCATTGTCCAACTGTCCCGAGGAGCGGGAATCGTTTGCCGGCGGCGAGGGGGGGGGTGTTCGAACCGGTAGTGACCCCCCCCTGGTTATCGAGGGGGGGCGGGTTCGAACCGGTAGTGACCACCTCCCTCTTGATGATGGACTGGGGGGGGGGGCGGGGCAGAGGTTCGAACCAGTAGTGACCACCCCCCGGTTTTCGAGGGAGGGGGGGGCGTATTGGGAACCCCCAGCGACCCCCCCCCGGTTTTCCGCCAGCAGCGATAGAAGACGCTCTTTCGGATATTCCGAGGACGTGAAACGCGCTATGAAAAAGACAAGGGCGCTTTTTTGTTTGCAAGGTCGGCCTCTTCACCATACCCGATTGTATCCGCCCAAGTGGCTGCATACCTGGTTTGGGTGGTCTGGCTTGGTGGGGCTCTTTTGCTAAAAGACCAAGCAATGGCACACACATATTTTCCCGGAGGTGTGTGCAGATCTCTTGGATCTGCGCTGGGCCTGTCTCCCTGGCGCGAGGAGCGCGCCAGGGGCGGCGACCAGGGGGCTCAGCGCTTCTCCAAGAGATCCGCGCATTTACATACATGCCGTGTTTCATGCGTGGGCTTGCTCGAGTCCGACCTCAACTTGGCGGAACAGGTTTGGGCGGCCTGATGCGGAGCAATATGATCGGCGCGCGAGTCGGCGCGTCGGCGTGAGCGCGCTACTTCTCGCCATCTCCAATGTTTAACCATCACAGGTTCCATCCCGCAATTTTTCTCGCACGTTTCCCTGCCGTTCTATCCCTTCTTTGTCTTCAATTATCGCGTTCTCTCTTTACCCGCTTATGGCTGTTCCTCTCACATCGGTGTCCGGCTTGATGACCATCTTCGATCGGACAAGCATCGCGTCACGGAGGGACGCTAGGGCGATCCACGATGCCCCCGCTGTGGCCCTCGTAGACCTGCCGGAAGCTGCATACTGTCGGGGTTGCTCTTGCTGCTCCACCAGCCAGCTCGCTCTCCCTGCCCTCCTCCTCCCCCTCCACAACCACCTCAGCCTGCTGCTACTCCGTCTACTCCTCCGCCAACTTCCACTTCGTCGAATATCCTCGCGCCGTCGCTGTCGCCCTGCTCCTCATCCTTGTGATCCCCCGTCTCGTCCTCGTCCTCGTCGTCCTCCTCCTCCTCCTCTTTCTGCTCCTCCTCCTCCTTTTTATTAGTCCGACCTGAGCACAGGCTGTGGCGTTCTTGCAGATGATGCGCAAACGAAAAGGGTACCCATGTCCGATTTGGCGAAAGAAACCTGGTGGGCGCCGCGGCGACAGTGATATACAAAGAGGTGAGCAAGATAACTTGTGTAAAGTAGACGCCCGCCATGGGTCGAACGTGTCGGCCTGCATACCTTAGTAGAACCACCACCGTCACTACATCTCCCCCGAATCCGAACCACGAAGGGTGCGTGAACGGAAATGTGAAACGCACTGGAGTCAGAAGGTGCTGAAGAAACAAACGTGGCAGGTGGGCTGCAAACAAAAACGAGCAAGATGCAACGACGTGCCTGAGCGCAATAGGGAAGGGCTGGCCTGTAAGGCTGGCCCCAGGATGGCAAAAAACATGCTGTGCCTGGATAGATGGCAACACGTCCTCCACCGCCACCCACTGCCCACACTCCCCATGTGTGAGCACAGGCAAGCAGCAAACAATGTAAAGTGCTGGCACGCGCTAACTGTAGCAATTCTTGGGTTGCCTCCCATGGTTTTTGAGTTTACACTGGACCACCTAGGTCCCAGGACCTACGTGCTTGTTTTTTTTGTTGTCGGATTGGACACAAGCCCAAAGTAACACATACGATGGTATTAAGGCTGGCCTGTAGCACGGAGTCTCGCCGTCAAGTGGGGCCCGCCCTGCCTTGTGGGTCAGGGGGTCCGGAAAGGAGGGAAGTGGGAGGATAGAGGAAGAAGTGAGGAAGTAAGGGAGCGGGTCTGATCCACCCTCACCTCCTCCATCTCCTCCTCCTCTTCCTCCTCCTCCTCCTCCTCCTCCTCCTGCTCCTCCTCCTCCTCTGAGGGTCAGCGACGGGGGGGGGCACGCTCAGTGTGGAAATAATGACCTGGAATCGGCCATGAGTCGCCGGTAGATCAGCGACAAGCCCTCGATAGCGAATCCGCATATTCTAGGGCACTGTGGGCTATCACCCTGTCGGCGATGAGTGGAAGATCAGGAGTCGCTGCGTCCCCCCCCCCATGAGCCTATCCCACACTGATGCTGCCCCTGTTCTTCCCCTTCCTGGGAGGCCGAGGTGGAGGGGGCCGAGAGAGATGAAGCCTCGGTGGGCGGAGGACGCGCGGGGAAAGGCAGGGCAAGGCAGGGCACGCGATGGAGCATGGCAGTGCAGGTCTGCTGGGGCAGAATGGGCAAAGGGAGGGGGGGGGGCTCCTCCTCCTGCCTTGAGAGGCAGACGAGGGAGATCGACGGATAACGACTGCAATGCAACTGCCCTCATCTGCGTTGGATTCGCATGCAGATCTGCAACATTCCTGCGGGCCAACCGAAAGCCAACGACCGTGGGGCAACCGCGGGACAACCGCGAGACAACCAGCGGGACAACCACGGGACAACTCACGGGAAAGCCCACGGGGCAACCCACGGGACAACCAACGGTACAAACCACGCGACAAACCATGGGACAAACGCGCGACAACCGTCGGGTCGGGCGAAAGGGGGGGATAGCAAAGGGGGGGGTTGAGAATCAGCTCGCGTAGCTGATTTTCCCGGCGCCTCCCAGCGCCGGAGGCGGCTGTGTATCGAGGAATGGGCCCCTCGGTGAGGCCGAACATACAGCAAATTTCGTAACCCCGCCTTTCCCAATCCACCCCTTTCGCCCGGCCCGAAACCGGGAGACAACACACAGGACATTCAACGCGGCCAGCACGGGACCACCCATGGGACACCCACGGGCCAACCCCGAACGCCCCACAGCGGGGCACAGGCTCGTGGCCTCCTTGCCCGACGTGGTCGTAGATCCTCGGCCGACACAGCGTCGCACTCGCGCAGCCTCGCCTCGCGCCGAGAGCGCGGCACGAGCCGAAACCCAATCCTTTCTCACCCCCGGCCACCGAGGCATTCGTAGAGGGCTCTTCGCCTTCGGCCGACCTTCACGGCCTGAGCGGGCCCGGTCTCGTCTCCGCTCTCGTCTTTGACTCCTTCGCTTCGTGCCTGTGCTAGCCTCCGGTGCAGCCCACCGCTCGCTTTGACCCGCGCCTGACCGCCTCGCGCACCCTGGCGTCCGCGGAGCAAAAAGTTAGTTTTTTCAACCGCAGATGCCATTCTCACCTCACTCTTCGGCGATGCAGACGCCCATGAAAGCAGGCCGCCATGTTGTCCTGCTCATTCTGCCGAATGGCTCTGCTGGATGGAGACAGCATGGAATTTCGGGCGATCCCTGGCGAAAACGGCCGTCCAGGCACACACACACACAGCTCCCGCACCAGCGGGGGCCTTACGTACTATTTGCTGGCAAGGGAACGGGAAGGGCGGAAGAAACGGACGGGGAAGATCGGCCGGCTAGCTAGCGACCTCAGCGTCGGGTGCGCCCGTGTCCTCGGCGTCGTCCTGGCGCTACGCAGCACGGTGAGTCAG